ATGAATGTGTTAAGCCCGAGAGTCAAGGGCGGGTTAAATGGAGTAACGCAATCTGGGCACCTGGCTACGGGCTTTGCCACGTGACATGCTGACAGTAAAAACCAATGGCAACCGATCTCGAGTCACACACTAAATGGGAAATGGCGACTTTTCCAGGTCGCAGGCGCCGTCTATTCCACTAGTATCTAACACCGCCGCGATGCAGCATTCCACTGGGATCACAAGACGTGCTGTTCTAACTTTTAACCCAGGACCGGGGAGGCCGTGCAGCAGCATTGTGCGGCACGTTAAGACCGCCGCATTCCTGTCTGGTGAAAGGGCGGCTGCAAGATTATCTGTTGACTTGGCCGGCACGATCCATGTGGTAGGTTCAGAATACACGCAACAAGCTATGATTAGCAAGCATTCTGACCCCAAAGCCAACCATGCAAACCATTCGGAATACATTTGTTTTAAAAACTCGCCCATATGCGGGAATGCTCTGCGACACTCCTGTAATATTACATTGCTGACATCTGCTCGTAATAGCATCGTAAGGAGTGTGCCCCATGTATCCATGGCTGTCAATGCCCACATGAATGGGGTACATACGTTCAGCCAAATACTCGACGCCTGTTCGATTACAGTATGGCGGCCCGATTACGGTCATCGACTACTCCGCTGCCAGGGCGCTGATTCGGCGGGCATTGCGTCAGCCGGGACATGTACGTACAAGGTGCATGCGCATCAGATCAGGCAGTCACCCTGACAGGCGCACGAGCAGTTAAAGGGAGCGTTCCACACTTATATGGGGCTTTGAACTGAAATAGCCATCTAAAAGACCGTTCGGTGCTCTCCACAACCCACCCTTCTGAAGACCTAAGCCCTTCTAGTCTCTGAGCTGCATGCCCGCGAAAATGGGAGAATATAGATGGGAGAGAGCATTTCAAACTCACTTTGATATTTATGCCGTCATAATAACGTCGTTCATATTCTGCCATCCCATAAGCCATGCGGCGATCAGGGCCAAGAAAAATATAATGATCGAGACGTTCATATCAGGCGTCTGTGGCCGCGACTTCCAGATATATCGGCCGTCAATTGACTCTCAATCGATGTTATGCAAGGCACGATGACGAAATCAAACAATGACGCATTGAGGAGCATATTTACTAAATAAAGAATTGTGCTGTCTTAAGCAGTATTTTCCACTTAAAAAATGTGCCAATAGTTTTAAGTGGGCTTGCGTCATCTATCTGATGCCTCTTTCAACATCTTCAAACGCGAAGTATTCCCTTCAGGACATACGAAACCAGTTAGTTAGAATCGCTTTTGAACTAGGGTAGGAGTGAAAATTACATTGCAAAAAGACCGTGCGGAAGTGGAGAACTTAATCAACAAAAGTTGAAACTTATGAGTAAGTGAGAAATCCTCCAGCACACGAGATACATCTCAAGCTGGCATGAAAGTAATATCATAAACATGACAAGACCGTATTTGTTTTTCAACATCTTAGGTCATTACAGCAAAACCGAATACATCCAAGAAAAATTAAGTTCATAATAGTGTGATGAGTATCAAAAACTACGTAACGCCAGTGTTCTGATGTTGCACTTTGCACTTCCTCTCCACAGCACTTTTCAACATAAATCTGAGCGAAGGAATTCAATGACAAAAACAACAAAAAATTCAACAACCATAAAAATTCCAAAAAAAAAACTTTGACTCACGCACATCAACACCTAAACAAAAGAAACACGGCAGAGAGACCTCTGGCTTCTGTTAAGATGGGTCAGGAAATACAAATACTTAGTCACTGTTTCTTGAAAACAGCAATGCTTATCTCCATGGACGTAATCTAATTGAATCTAACCGAAAGAGCCCTTACCTCATCTCATCCTGTCCAACCTATTTGTACCATAGCAGCATTTGTGAGTCACTGACTCTTGCAAAATTGCTACTACCACTTGTCATGCAATTAACCAACCTAACCTAACTTAGGGCAGGCAACCTGTTGAACATCATCTCAATTCACCTCACCTATTTCTTGACAGCAGTTGTGATAAAATTATGATAAGCTTGTTTTTGGCTGGTTCCAACTTGTTACTTGGTTCAATCATTTTGTGTTAGCTTGTTGACACCAGACAAAGTCGACAACATACAAATCAAAACCCCTCAAATTCCTTTGAACGACTTATTCCGTTGTTCATTGGTGTTTTCGGGCGCGTCGACTGCAATGGTCATTTTGCGCCCCTAACGACTTATTCTGATCATCATGGTAAGCCTCTGTCAAGGGCAATAATCGGTACGCTCAACAAAACAATGTTTCTCCTCAAAACTTAGCATAACTTATGGATGGCCACAAAACCAGTTTTGCTGTTCGTCTTTTCAGCTGCATTGAAGGCATCCATTGGGTTTCGTTATTTGTATTTAATGAGTTTCAGTTTGGGATGTTGTCTTTACCTTTTAAATGGCATGGTCTAACTATTTGCTAAACACCAGGATCTGCCTCATATTGTGATTCCTAGCAGCTTAGTGTTCCTGTGTTGAAAATCTCGTGCATGTCTAAAGCATAGTCAGTTGCACGTCAGCAAACCATGACAACTATGGACAACATCTTGTTGAAGCCGACATGAGGGACCAGTTCAACAAATTTGAGGTAAATAATCAAGAGCATGCAACAAAATAGTTGAATTACACGTCTTGTGGCAAAATAATTTGTCTTACAAGGGCAACTCCATGGATTACAACAGAGAATGGCTAAATCTGGTTACAAATCATGTGTTGAAAGCAGGTAGGGTTACCAATTAGTTGCTTCACTGGAGAAATTTCCTTGCTTTTTAAGGACAGACTCCTTACTGTTCCCCCACACAAAAAGTCTGTCTTTCGCGTGGTTTGCTGACAGATGGGGTCATTCAACCCACCCACAAAACATAAATATCCATCATGCCCACCAACCTGCAAGACTAAAATGCGAAATAACTAGGAGGTCTGCATAAGTAAATGGATTCGAAGGGCAGCATTTCGCTACCAATACTTCTGTGATGGCTGCGCCAGGTTTGTCTCAAAGCTATGTGCGAGAGGGTAATATAATGTGATGAGGCAGTGAAGTTTAAATGGCTTAGATTTATCATTATTTAGCTCCAGGAAGCAAAAACAAAAAAACCGGCTAACTTGGAGTTTTATTGGACATAAACGGCACTAAACCTGGTTGCCTTGCCTCAAACTGTATCCTTCATTCCCTATGAAATGTTCACACTTGGTGCATATCACACATGTTTGGGCGGCTGGCGAATTAATCCAATTCAGATATGAGATATCTGCAAGTTTGCAGTTGGATCATTCTTCACAGAAATTAGTTAACATTTTAAGCCATAGATGGTATCTGTAAAGATAATCTGAAGGGAAGGAGAAATTAAGACCACACTCGTGTGAGACCATGAAAAACAAAAGTCAATGAATAAATCTAAACACTTATAGCTTTCGTCTAATTCTGTAATCACCCTATTTGACTAAAAATTGTGAAAATTAGTGCTCAAATTGTGGTATTCGGCTTTTATATTTCATTTAGAAGGTATTCTTGAATTTTTCTCTTCTACATTTCGGGAGTGGTGCAATTTAGTGGTCAAATTTATTTTCGTAGAAGAAATACGTGTAGTAAAATTATCTATCGGCTTTGCTAGTGTTTGCATCAGGCTTTGTCTTGTTAGTGTGACGTTTCGTGATGCGACCTCAAAAGTTGGGGACGCGTGAAAACCTTGCATTTGGCACACATATTTAGATTGTCATGCATTTTGTAAACAAACCAAACTTAATACATGGAGGCGGCTGGATGAGACAGGATATAGTCATAGGTGTCCAGCTTCTGTGAAGCCTTGCTAATGCTTGATGGTTTCAAGTGAGCTCGGTTTTGGATGACATCTTAAAACCTCTAAAAGGGAAATATGGGTCTGGCATATGTGGTTAGACAATATCAGGTGAGAGTGAAAAGTTCATATAAAATATGGGGAAAAGGAGTGAAAAATTCCTCCTCATAGGGTGTTGCTCTACACCCAAAGTCGGCAATTCCAGGACACTGTCCGAAACCCGACACCTAGGACCAGAACCGACAGCTAGCACCACCGTGCTGCCGACGGGCGAAGTCCGAGGTTAACGGCGGCGGCAGCGGCGCGACAATGCCCCTACCGAGCCGCGCAGCGTCCGGAGACGTCCCTCCAAAGCACAGAAAATACCCTGCACCTGATTGCAAAGAACAGATTTCACGTGAATGTGGTCTCCATGGATCGGGGCAATCGTGCCATTTTTCGTACTTGCATGGTCCAGATTGATCAATTACCATACCATTATATCATAATCCATGTCCTTAAATTGCGGCGTTCACGTGGATGCATCATAAGATTGCATGCCGCTGAAAATACGCACAAAGTAATGCTTTATGTGCTGATTTAGGTCCACCCGAACCTCCACTGTGTTGCCGCATACTCTCCATGTGAATCTTCAAAATCGGCCACCGAGTAGACGACACATTTAAAGCAAAAGCAGGTACCGGTACCGTGCCGGAGCCACCCAAGGTGCGTGGGTGAATACGACTTGGTATGTTCAGCCCTAAAGCTGAACAAAGACAAATATAAAGCGTGTTAAATCACAATGCGACTGCTCAGATGTTACCACTTCGTTTTCGAATGCCCCAGCATCGTCACGCCAGAGCAGACTTCAGACCAATATTTTCCCTTTCATACATCCAGCCTCTCTCAACGAACATCTAGGTTAACCCCTCCGCGGCGCAAACCGAATAGTGGACACTTGGCGCGAAATTGCATACCAATTCTCCCCCCCCCCCCCCCAGAAGCAAATAAAATAACGTAAAAATGCCGAAAACAAGGCGCCATGACAGGCTGCGTGCTCGTTTGGCGGTCACAATTAACCCAAGGCCAATAGGCGAGGAGAGCGGCTCATGATCGGTGCTACAGCTTTTGCTCCCCTTGCCTACGGGCCAGCACGAGAGGGCGGGGGCGACTCACCTCGGCTTCCGACAGGTTCTGTTTCACGTCCGGCGGCAGCACGCTGCCGAAGCTCCAGCGCAGTGCTCCGATGCTTCGCAGCCGGTGGTACCTGCAGCGTAGAGGCACGTGACACTCAACTGCGCCAGAGCGTGTACCAGTGCGTTGGTGCCGATGGCGGCCATTCTTGCGTCCAAGTTTTTTAGACGCGGTGCGTGTTGTGGTCAGACATCTGTCTGGTTCCCAAAATTTATTCCTGGGAACCGGTTCCTGGTTCCCGAACCATGAAGAACCCATGAACCAGTCTGGTATTAGACCGGGGGATCCAGCAAGAACCAGGATCCAGCATCATGTTAAGTTGGAAGATCCAGCATGGCAATAAGCCAAAACATCCAGCAAGAACCAAGATCCAGTCTGATCCCAAATGAACGAGAACCAGCAAGAACCAAGATCCAGATTATCTCGGGTCCGTACTGTCCAGCCTCGGGTCCGTACTGGCCAGCTGGGGTCCGTACTGCCCGGAAAGAGTCCGCACTGTCCAGTCCGGGTCCGTACTGCCCACACAGAGTCCGTTCTGTCCCGGGGGATCCAAAGTCTAGTGTAAAATATGGCAGCAACGGTGTACATTTCACGACTAGCCACACGGCTTCCATGTTAAAATGTTCGTCTCCAGGCCCGCGGCTTTCTAAATCTTAAACATATACATGCATACAAATTTCATAGAAATGGAACTGGAACAATTGTCTTTCGACTTCCGGGATCAAAAGTGTGCGCCCTGACACTCATTTTCAAGCTATCAGGCAAAGCGTAGACCCGTGCACGCGCCGCGATGTCCAGGCGTGGGATCGAATCCCGCTGCCGCTAGCTCTTTTCAGCAGAGTTGGGATGGAACACGGAGTGAATACGGTCACCAACTGGCGATTGAACTATTGAGTGCAATAGTACTCTGGTTATCTGTATGCTATATATATATATATATATATATATATATATATATATAAAACCCATAGATATATAAAAATAAGCACATTATGTATACACTGAAGATGCAGCTGCTGTGCTGTGAAACGTCCCGCGAGTTATTACAAGAAATACACATGCTATATTTTCATATCTATAAACCATACTTGACAGGTGTTGTGCAGCCGTCGGGCTACACGCAACAGCCTATGGCTGGGTGCATAGCATTATTGTACCTGAAGCATGGAACCTATCGCGACGGTAGCCGTCCAAAGCTGGCCGTCCAACGCGGCCAGAGGTAGGACCAGGCACTGTGTTAGGTTCGTAAGTTGTGATGCTGGCGGCCACTGTTGTGCGGGGCCGGCAATGCCGCCTCAGGACCAGCGCAGCAACGATAGCATAGCAACATTGCGAGCACCGCTGATTGGGAAGCAGCTGTGCTTAAAAGCAGGACGGTCAACATGTTAACGATAAGTGCCATGAAGGCGAGCTGGTACTGCACAGTGGCCCTGATGTGGCAAAATTCATAAAGCTTCTTTGATTGATCTTGAAGAGCTTAAACACCTGAGACCTACAGCCTAAATCACCATGCTCCCTAAAACCATCTGCAGGAAGGGTTTTTCGGCATGAGGAGAATACAAACATTTTATCACTGGCTACACAGAATAACTAAACCTGAAAAGCTAGCTTTCGCATTACAAAACCTGCACAACAAATATTTGGACCCTTCATATCAGGACACAAATTTTGATATTCCTTACCAAGCCTCGTAATTGATAACTTTAATCCCATCCATTGATCTCAGAGTAGGAAAGGTACACTAAAGCAGCTGGAGTGGAATGGGCAGCTTAGACAGATTTAGAAGGTGCAGCAGTATCTGAAACATATCCAGCATTGGCTCAAGGCAATAAGAGCGCTCAATGGACATTAGATTGCCCCAAACCATGTCCCAGCTATGCGCATTCTATATAAATGCAACATGTTGTAGTGATAAAATATTTCCGCACCATCTTGCACTCAAAATTTGGTCATATCGTTACAAGAAAATTGAGCTGGTGTAAATTACGCAATGATGTTGTGTAACAAATGCAATGCTGGGTATTTGGTTACAGCTGAACATTCAGAATACTGTAATATTTGACATAAAACATCAGTTTCTATAAATGTCACAAATCTGAGATCCTCCCTTTCAAAAGCAGCCATTCAATGATGGCAAAATTATTTTGATAGCCCTGTATCCTACGTGACCTCATTATTTCAGCATAGGAATAAGCATAAATCACAAAGATGACTTATTGTGCTGACCAATTTCAGATACAACACAGGCCACTACACCCTTCAACTAAATCAACTACACCATTTGCTGATTACGCTGGATACATTCACAAAGCACAGGTTACTGTTCAATACCACGTTTATGCTGCATGGAGCAATTGCATTTGGTAATGATGGCCTTCTCCAATAATGTTGAAATGCACTAACAAAAAGTTTGCTTGCCTACTTATATTGTTGCTAGAATATTACAAAAAAGAAAAAAAGTTAACGTCACTATCGCACCATGACCACCTGCTTTGGTCATCATTTGATGACACTGACTGGACTTTTGACGGCACAGTCCATCAATAAGTTACACACATTGATGCTCCTGATCTGGAAAGAACGTGACTTACAATTTCACGTAAGCTAAATTATGCCAGAAAACTTTTTTTGACATCAGGCGACCTACTCTTAACAGTCCAGGCTAACCGCTCCTTTGGTTAAATGTCATCACAGGTATGTGCACAACATTACACCATACCAAACAATTTAACTATTAATGGTTGGTCATAACTACTAGGTTGGTCGGTTTCGTGGATTGTAACACCTCTGTGGACGAAGGTAATCATTGTATATGTTAAATATCCAGATGCCAATCAAACAATCTCAGCATGCATGTATTTAAAAATAACAAGATCCTTAGCTCCAACGTAAGTATACCTGAGCACACCTTGACCAATCACTTCGCGCGCAGCACTCCACAAGCATTAAACAGCCGGTAGCCTAGGCCGCAACATTCATAACTGGCTCTCGGTGCAGTAACTGAAACGTGATTACACCAATCGCCACACACCAAAGATGCCGCTAGCACAGCACTGACAACTTTTGGTACAACATACTAAATCTGGTGTTAATCCTGATTCTGGTATACTTATAGCAGGTGTCGAAACCTACTAGTCAAAGCTTTGGAGTAACCAGTGTTGGTACTGTTAGTACTGTAGGTAGTGTTGGTACCAGTGTTGGTATTGCCCTGGTACTGTCCAGACCGGGTCCGTACTGACCCCCCACTTCGCGTGCTGCGCACGCTGCCGCGGTATCCCCGCAGCCTCGCCTCGTAATGCGCCATAAGTAGCCCACAAAACCAGAGATCGCCTCATCGGTGCTGCGCACGTCCGGTCTCGCCACCGCCGGGGGGGTCCCCCTGGGCTTTTTCACGTGCAGCGCCGGCGTTAAAACTGCGTGGAACGTCGCAGGCCACAGCTGTGAAGCAGCTGTGACCGATCCAACTGAGGCGGCCAGCCGGCTGGCGGTGCCTCACCATGCGCGCGGCATGGCATGGCACGGCACGGCACGGCACGGCACGGCTCGGTGCGGTCAAGCGGCTGTTACCAGACCAACTACCAATGACACTGCTAAGACACCGCTTCTGCGGGGCACACCTTCCACGGTCGAAACTTCGACGGAGAATGCTGCGGTGCATTATCATATCTACAGGCACGGCTTCTATATTACACCTGCCCCAAAAGTCTGTTACGACTTTAAACAGCCCACACAATTTCCACGCGGCCCTGCTCCATGACAACTTCCGCGGTAAAAAATCCTGCAGGCAGACCTAAACCACTAAACTAAACCCATTTTTGCAGACACAACATTTATGCGACATTACTTTATCACAGGTAAGCCGATACGGAAGAACACTTTCGCGCGTCATTAATTCAACAAACAAAGCTTCTTCGGCAAAAAACTCTACGCGACAGATTTCCTAGACAGAGTGCCTTCATAACTCGACTGATCGGGCATCCCCCCCCCCCCCCAGAGCAGCACCAAGCTAGACATGAAAGTGTTATGCTTAACTATTATGTAAGCGGTCATGGAAAACATTGCATCGTCAGAGCCTACGCTGATCAGATATACGCGTTCGCAACAAGTGTAAAAGCGACTTTGCCAAGCAAGGTCAAGTGAGACAATACCATGAGCTGAAATGGGACAAAACGCTCAGGGACAGCGCACTTGGAAATAAAACTCAGAGACAAAATGCTCCGGGATACAGGTTTTAAGGGAACACGGTACAGTGACCAAAACAGAACCGGACTGGACGTAACACATCTCTTTCTGCAGTTTGGGCATGACGAAATGTGTGGGAGCACCATGAGTTGCTCATGGCAGCCTCACGGTGTAGAAGCTTTGTTCGTGGAAATCCAATCACGTGGAAGTTTTGACCGTGGAAGTTTTATCTGCAGCAGCTTTCTCGCCTGGGAGCAACGCCTAGCACAAATTTTGTCTGCAGCAGTCATGTTTCAGAAGTTGTGTCTGCGAAGTCTTTTCGTGTCGGAGTTTGACCGATAGCACTTTGTACGGCGACGTGCTGTCGCGTGGAAGGTTTGTTAGCGCAGGGGTTCCGTCACATAAAAGACAAATCCGGTCAGAGCCAATCAGCGGCCGTCCCGTCCCGGGAGACCGTCTCCAGCGCCCCCCCCCCCCCCGTCCCACAGGTGCTCGGCGAGTGTGAGCAGGAGCCGAACTTCACGCCCCGAGCCGACGCGGCGCTTCGGACCCTAACAGACCGCGCCGGAGGTCAAGCTCGGCCACTGTGCTTCATATTTCCATTGAGGTTTGGAGTTACTGCGTTCAATTTCTGCGTCATCACAGCGTGTAACAATGTGCTTGAATACCTCTCTCTGCCAACCACCAGACCGCGGCAAACCCACAGCAAGCCCGCCTCTCTCTTCTCTCTCTCACTTCAATGGCGCGAGGGTGCCTCTTGCGTCAAGACGTACCCACTGACCCCGGGACCGGGCGGAAGCGTGGCCGGTCAGCGGGGTTTCCCCGGCCCCGTGCGACGCGCCATCCAACCGGTCCGGCGCCGGTCGCCGCCGCTCGGCGCCGAGACCATCG